ACAGAAGTTTCGATTTATTATCCAATGAATGCTTGTTGTTGTATAATTTGAATTTGTGTAAGTATGTATGTGTGTGTGTGTGTGTGATGATAATGATCATTATAAGATGTTATGTTCTGGCTGTCTATGGATTTATGGATTTTCACCTCTAAACTTCTGTATCATTCGCATTGATCTGCAGATCTAGCTATGGTTTCAGACGATTTCTGGATTTCCTTTTGACTAACAAAAAATCCAGATTCACAAAATTATGTTATAAATAGAATGGGAACACCGAGAGCTTTATCACCAAGTCTTGATTTCAAGTTGCATTTTACGAGCTCGATTTCAGTAAGAGCTTCTTTCAAATCTTCACTATTTGACATATTTTCAAAATTGAAAGAATTTTATACTTTCTAGAAAGAGAATATCCTAAAAGCGGAGGCGTCATTGTTATAAGTTCTAACCTTTTCGCTTCTTACGAATTTAACGGAAAGACTGCGTTTCAATTCTCTCGACATTATACGAGATTCTCGTTGGATCCCGCGTGAATAACATTCCACAAGTGGTATACACGGTTAGAAATACCCACGTATAAAAAGCTTCAATTTTCATCGGATTTTCATTTTTTTTTTTTAAACTGGTGTCATTGTCACCTTCATCTATGAATTCTCCGCTGAGATCCAGATATCTAGTTTTATAAATTAACAAAACGTCCCTGTGTTGTCTATTAACACCTGCACTCTCTGGCAGGTGTTATTTTTTTTCAAACAAAACTTGAGTTCCGTACAGGTTTAAAAGAATCATGAAGAGAGGTGCAAATAGCAATTGACAACAGTTAAAGAATGAAACAGAAGAGAAATTAGAGTGATAAATGAATGTGTAAAGAATTAAAGATCGATAATCTAAAATGATCCTATCTTTTATTCTATTCTCACAACACTTATCAAAGTGGGTCCAGTTAATATATATATACATATATATATATATACATATATATATATATATATATATATATATATATATATATATATATATATATATATATATATATATATATATATATATATATATATATATATATATATATATATATATATATATATATATATATATATATATATATATATATATATATATATATAATTTACTAAATATATTAAATTATATATATATATATATATATATATATATTTATTCGAAATTGTAACATAAATATTTTATAAAATCACTATAAAATAACCATTTTGTTTCAACACTTCGGGTGACTTATCAAGTGATGAATGACATTCAACACCATCACTTGAAGTGGCTATTTTTGTAGTGATTTTATAAAATGTCTATGTCATAATTTTCGAATAAATTATATATATATATATATATATATATATATATATACACACACACACACACATATATATATATATATATATATATATATATATATATATATATATATATATATATATATAAAAAACAGGGTAGATTTCTTTTATTGGCACAAAAATTGAGAATGAAAGAAAGTAAGTACTATTTAAAAAAGATGAAAAATATTTTAAGAAAAGTAAAAGTTGACATGAAAAAGAATTTATTTCTTACGTTTTATGAAGAAGGTACTGTGACTGATAGAATGTGTCAAAATTTTGGTTGGTTGATTTTGTTTAGGGGCATATCAACACCTCTATGGGTTTTTTTAAATACCGAAATCTAAATATTTTGAACAGAGCTTTATGACTTCAACTAACGATAAAATGCATTGTTGGTCATATTCCTATAAATATTTATTGCTGTTAATTTTTATATAAATATGTATTGTTGGTATTTTCACTCTAAAAAAAGAATTTAGTTTTTGTTTGGGGCTTCACTATTTGTCCATAGCTAAAACCCTAAAAGGTCCTTCAACCCCTAGTCAAGGTGGACCTGGGAACAATAAACCAAAATTATTTTTAACCATTGATCCATGAAATTGGTTATGATTCTGTAGAAGGATGGTACTCTCGAAGACCGACCCGTTTTAATAAATTAAGGCATTTTTAAGCATTGATACGTGAAATCGGTTGTGATTCTGTAGAAGGAGAGACCTTTCAAGGACCTACACGCTTCAATAAATCGAGCCATTTTTCACTATTGATTCGTGAAATTGGTTGATTCTGTAGAAGGATGCTATTCTCAAAGCCCTACACGCTTCAGTAAACTGGAACCATTTCTAAGCGATGATTTCCTAAAATAGGTTGAGATTCTCTATAAGGATAGTCCTCTCAAAAACCTACACACTTCAATAAATTGATCCATTTTTCACTATTGATCCCTGAAATCGTTTGTGATTCTGCCGAAAGATGGTACTTCCACATATCTACAGGATGGTGCTCTTAAAGACCTACTCGTTTCAATAAATCGAAGCCATTTTTAACCATTGATCCGTGAAATCGGTTGTATACAGCGGACATTCCTGAAAGGTTTGGAAAGCGTGTATGATTGTCATATGTAAAATCTACATTTAGCGAGGGAATTTAAAACATGATTCGAGTTTTTAGGTTAATGTTTTTCTTTTTATAGCAGCCTTTTATTTTGGACTAAACAATCGCTACGTCATTCTATCCTACGTTAAATCCTGCCTTTTATCTTATACGAAATCTATCATAACTTATCCGTAGAACGAAGGATTTGAAATATCTAGGAATTATTAATTCCACATACTTAATTTATGATAATGGGTTTTGGTATGGTCCATCACTGCTTTCATTTCAATTCTGGATACCGCCTCGTAAGTGCTGTTGTTCTAAGGTCCACCCTGTCCCGGGGTGGTAGCACCTGAACTACAAAACAAAAACAAGACACTATGAAAATATAAAAATACCAGCAATACATTTTTATATAAAAAAATTACCAACAATACTATTTTAAAGAAAAATATCCAGCAAGACATTTTTATAGTAGAATTATCATCAATACACTTTTTAAAGCAAAAGGACTAATTTTCTTTTATCTGTAATTGAATCCATGAAACTTTGTTTAGAATGTTTAAATTTCGGCATTAAGTAACTCGTTGAGGTGTTGATATATCGATAAACAAAATCAAACAACCAACCAACTGTTGATCACTGTTTCTGTTCTGGAAAGGTTTATCATGTCGCTATTTCTTTGAAAATTTGGTAGAGGATATTCTTTTTTTTTCTTGTTCGAGAGTATTTTAATCACAACTGTGAATACATATGTTACCATAAATAAAGTGGCTTCGGAAGGGAAAATATGAACGCTTATTTTATTTATCATGTATAGGTTAGACTGACACAATGGCGTTTACTGAAAAAAAATCATTCAAAGTGAAAATGAGAAAATGGACTCGTAAACACGGTAGTTGCCTCACTAATTACCCGATTTCCGCATATTTAAATACAAGAAATTCTGAAAATTCTGTGTCTAATGCACTGATATTGAGGCTTGGATGCATTCTACTGAAATGCAAAATTAACAGCTATGTGCCTGTAATGCTGGCTAGGCACTCCCGTAACTGTAGGCATCTCATTCACAAGGAAATCCACGTTACGTTTAGAATAATCTGGTGCGACGCCAGAAGTGAAGATAAGCAAAAATGTTACTAGCCAATCTTTCTAGACTTAAAAATCAGCATCAGAGACCGTAAATTTGATACAGGGATGAAAACTAACCATTGATCTCGATAGTAAAAGGAACAGCTATCTAATTCAGATTTATTTTTATTCATTCTTACAGTGAAATGATATCATAATAAAATGAGATATGATATCATAATAAAAAAAATTATATATCATATCAGTGATATAATATCATAATAAAATGTGATATGATATAATAAAAAATTATATCATATCAGTGATAAGATTATCATAAGAAAATTAAGTTTCATTTGTTGTTTAACATCTCAATTCCTTGTGTATTGTTTACCAGATATAAAAAAATGGACGTGCACGCATGCGCATATGCTGGCATTTTGATTTGTATGCTTCTGTTCATGAAAGAGATATTTTTTAATTTATATCCTGTTTCCTGTTTCCTTGCTTGAAAATGGAGGGCGAACAAATAAACTACAGAAAAAGAAAAAAAAACAACACATAGGCTTTAACTTATTAAGTTTCGTAAAATGTATTGCATTGTAACAACAGTTAGGTAAATCTACTCTGTGCTTTTGTTATTTAAAAACATATGGGCAAAAAATGTCTCTCCACAACATCCTTTCCATTTTTTAGTATCTTTCAATCCGTTATACATTAAACAACCTCCCTCTTTGTTGTTTAATCTCTGGCCTTCAATCTATTTATGTTTCTAAGTATAGGTTTCTTTCTGATTATATTTTCCTTTGAATTTCTTCCCTGCTCGCATATTCTGTCTATTTTATTCTCATTAATCTTCTGTAGAGCCAAATCTCTATTGCTTCAAGTCTCCTCCTCTTCTGTGAAGAAATTATTCTGTATTTATTGCCACATAGAAGGTTTAGGATTGCATAGTAGTTCAATACTATTTTTTTTTGTTTTTGTTTTTAACGAACATTTCAAGTTTATTAATACTTTGTTTAGCTTTTGAAAGGCATCTTTCAATATTCCTTTGGATTTCATTGTCACATTATTCGTCATCATGCCAATATGTACTTAATACAAATTTTTTTGTGATTTTGATTCTAAACCCTTTTTTCAAACCTTTTCAACATAAAATTTATTTTTCTTTTGTTAATTTTTCCCCCAGTAGAAGACCCAAGAGAACTTCAAGGTTAAAGGTTATTTAATGAGGTTGTTATATGGATGTAATTGGTAGGGTTAAGAAGTGCAGATGATGAGGAAATGGGAAAGATAACTGTTGACTCTGGATTAAAGAGTTTAAGATTGTAAAGCTCAGGGAAGCATCCTCTCAGGAGTCTATTGTCTTAATGGAACTCTCTTCTTTCTAATGGAATACGAAATTGAATAGAGATGTTTCGTTCCAATGTACATGACATGGTGAATCGTTCCATTGGACGTGACTTGGGGGTTCGTTCAAGTGTAAGCAACATGGCGATTCGTTTAAGTGAATATGACATAGCGTTTCGTTCCAGCATACGCGACATGACGATTCGTTCCAGTGTACGTGACATGGCGGTTCGTCTCGGCGTATGCGACTTGGCGGTTCGTGCCTGTGTGCGCGATATGGTAATTCATTCCGGTGCACGTGACATGGCGATTCATTCCAGTGTACGTAACATGGCAATTCATTCTGGTGTACGTGACATGGCGTTTTGTTCCAGTGAAAGTGATATGGCGATTCGTTCCAGTGAACGTGACATGGCAGTTCGTTCCAGCATACACTACATGACAGTTCGTTCCACTGTATGTGACATGGTGTTTCGTTCCGGCATACGTGACATGGCGATTCGTACCTGTGTACGCGACATGGCGATTCGTACCTGTGTACGCGACATGGCGGTTCGTCCCACTGTATGTGGCAAGGTGATTCATTCTAGTGTGCGTAACATGGCGGTTTCTTCCAGTGAAAGCGACATGGCGATTCGTTCCAGTGTATTTGCCATTGCGGTTCGTTCCAGCGTACGCAACACTGTGGTTCGTTCCAGTGTACGTGACATGGCGTTTCGTTCCAGTATAAGCGACATGGCGATTCGTTCCAGTGTACGTGGCAAGGAGGTTTGTTCCAGCATGCGCAAGATAGCGGTTCATTCCAGTGCATGCGACATGGCGTTTTGTTCCGTTGTAGGTGACATGGCAGTCCGTTTCGTCATACGTGAAATGGCGGTACGTTCCTGTGTACAACGACACGGTGATTCATTCCGGTGTACGTGACATGGCGGTTCGTTCCAGTGTACGTGACATGGTGATTCTTTCGGTGTACGTGATATCGTGGTTCGTTCCAGTCTATGTCACATGTGTGTGTTCCTTCCAGTGTACGCGACATGGCGGTTCTTAGCTATAAAAATATTTGAACTGCTGGAAACTAAGGAATTAGGCTCTTCCGAAATCTACAAAAATAGCGATTCCTGAGCCAGAAGCGAGCGACGTTTCGGGAAAGGGAAAATGGGTTGTAGGGTGGAAAATAATTATATTAAAAATGTATTATTCTTTAATTTACGTCATGCACAGTCCAACAGATTTTTTTCAATAAAATTATAGCAAGTAAAACGCGTTTTTGATTGATTGATTGATTTCTCTGTTTAACGACATATCAACTCCTCCATGGGTCTTTTAATAACGAAATTTAATGTTCTTGGGAGCTTTGAAATAATAATAATAATAATATGATATACGTTATTCTTCTTTTAAAATTGAATACATGCTTTTTTTTAAGCGTTTCACCCCAAGCAAGGCGAGAAGCCACTAGGACGCAAGGGGTTACAGAAGATATGTAGCAAGATCAGATAGAAGTGATAGAGGAAAGGACGAAGAGAATGATAGTGGATAGATCAAGGCAACTGGAGATGTCGATTGACATTACATTTGAAGAGTTGAAGATTATAGCTCTCAGGGAAAATGGAATAGGGAAGGGAGTTTCACAGGCGAGAGGTGCGAGACATTAAGCTATTGGAGTAGAAAAGACGGCTACATTTAATAGTTTCGACTCGTAGGGCGCTTGAAGCTTTTGTGCCTATATATTTTTGTGTGCACATGATAGACGGTGATATGTGTTTTATGTTGTATTTTTTGTTGAAGTTATATTTTGTAATACAGTTTGATTTAAGAAATTGTACGATATTATATGGATTAATGCCATGAAAGTTCTTTCAGGTTTCATTTGTTGGTTTGTTTAGGCATATTTGGGTTAATTAATGTTGAAATCTTAATGTTTAGAACACAATTTTATGGCTTCACCTAAATATAATTTGATTTGATTTGGTTTGGTTTGTTTTACGGCATATCAACTTCAATGGGTTACTTCATGCCGACAAGATGTTTATTGCTGGTAATATTTTTTTCAAAAATGTATTGCTGCTAATATATTTTTTTTAAATGTATTGTTATTAATATAATAATATTCTTTCCTTCAAAAATATATTGCTGGTAATATTTTTCTTCAAAAATTATTGCTGGTAATATTTTTCCTTCAAATATATATTGCTGGAAATACTTTTTTCTTCAAAAATATATTTTCCAAAAATGTATTACTGGTAGTCATTTTTCTTCTTCACAAATTCAATGCTGGTAATATTTTTTACAAAAAATTCACTGCTTGTAGTAAAACCTATTTTTACACTTTTATCGATATTTGACCTAAGTTTATGCGGTGTCTATTTGCCTGTAGCTGGGACCCTAACAGGTGCTACGACCCGAGGTCAAGGCAGACTTGGAAACACCAGCAATTAAGCTGGTCCTTTAGATAGTCCATAAAGATTGCTTATTTTACATCTAATGTTGTTAACATCGTTATATTCCTTAGAACTTAGACAGCCTTAGTATGGATGTATTAAATTGTTGTGTACTTTCATCACTTTTATTATGAGGTGATGTAATGAATATACATACACCTGGTTTCCGCTTCACAGTAATATGATTGGCTGGTGTCAGTCATAAATACAGACTGATGTGAAGGTACATGGACTACGTCTATTGCCTACGCCTATTGCCTACCACTACGATGAGGACCAGTCCATTACGGTTACCTGATAGATTTTCCTACTCGGTTACAGTAGTCCAAAACCACTTTGCTACTTCGAACAAATATATCCCTTTCCGGGACATATCATGAGGTTGTTATTGTTTGACTTCTTCATAGTAGGTATCATCCTGTAGTATATTTTGCATAATGCTTTTGTATTTTCTTGTAACGATAATAACAACAGCGCCTCCTTTATCAGCTTGTATTATAACAGTATTTTGTCGAATTTTAGGTGGTTTATTTGGCCAAGGGTTTCATTGGCACTGGTCTATCTTTTTCATTTCAATGTTTAGTATGTAGAATAAAATAGAATAACTGTCATTTCACGGCCCGTATTACTGCCTTGTTTTATTGTGACATTGAAAGTGATGTAATAATTTTTTTGGCACGCACGCATAATTTTGTAGCATTCAGTGTCACTGTTCACTGCTGAATATGTAGTTAGTATCATGCACATGCATAAAAAAATAAATAACAATATATAAATTATATATTTTTATATAATTTTTATTTCTAATTCTTTTTTTGCTTTTACTAGTCTTTTTCTTTTTCCTGGTGTCATGGAGTCTTCTTTTGTGGCTGTATATTTGTAGCTTTTTTTAGGTGATTTCCCTGCTTCTGAGTAATCGTTTTGTATGAATCTTTCCGATATTTTTTTTTCCATATCGTCATCCACATACCTGGGTTTAAGTCTTTTTACCCCATTCTTTTAGTCTCGTCATTTCCTTATGTAATTTGTAATAATACATTCTGGATAGTAATGGTTCCTTTTCCATCATTACTAATTTCCATGGGTCAGAGTTGGAAGTGGATAGGTTGGATGTCCGATGTAGTAATCTTTCGTTTTGATGTTTTATATTTACTAATGTCTGGCTTTCTTCTAGTATTAATTTTGCTTCTTTAACGTTTTGTAGTGTGAACCACATTTCGTCTGTTAATATCATCGACTTGTCAACGCATGATGCGAAAGTGAACTTGTCAGTTTGCTGACGTCTCATTCTTCCTACGTTCATTAAGCCTGATGCTATGGATTTTAAGATGTAACTTTTTACCAGCACAAGTCGGTCCCTATATGTGTAGAGCATTAATTTTTGCATACGTCGAAAAGTTTGTTTACGAAGTCTTCACATTCAATGTTGTGGTAGTCACGCCATTCGGTATATATATTTAAACTTTTTTGTACACTCTAGTATTTTTCTTTGTGTAAATCATAATAGTCTTTTTGGTTTCGTAACTTTACTCTCTATATTCACGTCTGTAGTTGCTGCAGTTATGATGTTATTTAAATTTGGTGTGTCTTTAAATATCTTTTCCCAAGTTGTTTTATGATTATTGTTATTTGTTGATTTGCAGTTTGACAATACTTGTTCAAGTTCTGTGCTGTTACATATGAACATCATTTTTTTTATAGAATCGTATCTTTTTCATCGTAATGTTCTTTGTTTGTCTTCGAAGTATCTATCGTCATCATCCTTTTTTTTACTACTTTAGTTCTCTGTTTGTTTGTTTTTTTCTCAGGAAAGTTAACTGTACTTTTGTCTGCAATGATCCCGCTGCAATTGTGTATCTAATTGCTTGTTATTTTCTAAAGTAGCAGGCCATTTGAGGTGCTTCTATAGTGTAGCCATTCGTTGGTCTTTGTGACATAAATTTCTTCATTTCGAAGAAACTGTGATTACTAGTTGGTTGGTCTGTATGCCATCTTACCATGTTGAAGCGATCGTAAATTGTACAGTAGCTATTTGATGACCGTTCACGTTTTTCATGGTATATAATAATGTGGGGTGTTTGCGTAATAAATTTAAGACATATTTGTGAATTTCACTAGGTTGGGTCAGTAGTATGTCGTTTCTTGGTTGTAGTACTTCTGTTTCTACCCATGAAAATACAATTGTACTTTCCCACCTGTATATCGAGATGTATGGATTTTACCTTTTCCCATTGTAGAGCTCATCTTCTTTTACCTCGGTGTTGAATTCATTTTTTAATTCCCACTATTTTTCCCCTTATTCTCATCTATACATTTGCTTTCATTTATCATTTTATCTACAGCTGTTTTCATGAAGTCGTTCATTTTACATATTTACGAATTTTCCTCTTGTTTCGCCGTAAATATTGTTTCCTTCTTCACCGTAGATTTTCGTTGTTCGAGCGTGTTGTGTTCTCTTTGGGATCGTTCCGTGGAAGTGTGCGTTTGGTTCAAGATGCTTGGATCGAATCCTTCTGCTGCTGCGGCTGCTGTCTTACTTTCTGGGGGTGATTAACTTGTTCATTTCTAGCTTTATATACACAACTAGCAGTAGAGCCCGGCGTTGCCCGGGGATGTAACAGTAAGAGATAGATCTAGTATCAACCATCATAAAGACTGAAAAATAAAATTTACAAAGATTATTGTTTAAGGTTGACGGTCACGCATGTCTTAATTAGTTTTTTTTTTATTCGTTTTTTTTTTTTTTACAAATTGGTCAAACCCAAACTCAAACAAAAACATTGTTTTCAATCGTTATGAGTCTACCGATTGAATAGAATTTTATTATAAACAATTGTCTTGTAAATGGAATTTTTCAAGCATTCTGAATGTAAAAATAATGGAAAAAGTGTGCAAGACAATAAGAAACACTACCTGCCAAAAAAAGTGAAGTTTTGTTGAAATCGGTAGAAAAATGTAGGAAATCCCATATATAAACGAACACACACATACACACGTGCACACACACAGACCCCCCACACAAACAAACAACCTGGGTTTTATCATAAGTATAACTCAATATGAGTTGTCCCCCTTTCATTCTCGCGATGCCTTTTAATCGTGTTTTCAAATTGATTTCGTGCAAAAACAATTATGTTTTTCCAATTTTTGACGCTGTCAGAACCACCGCAAGGTAATTTTACGTAGCCCTGTGATGTTTTGTTGAAATCGGTTGAAAAATGTAGGAAATCCGATACAATATATAAACGTACACACACACACACACACATACACACAACCTGGGTTTTATAATAAGTATAACTCGATATGAGTCGTCCCCCTTTCATTCTCGCGACAGTGATGCCTCTTGATAAAAACAATTGTGGTTTTCCGATTTTAGGCGCTGTCAGAACCACTGCAAGGTAATTTTACGTAGTTCTGTGAAGTTTTGTTGAAATCGGTTGAAAAATGTAGGAAATCCGATCCAATATATAAACGTACACA